AAGAGAAAATGCATTTATTTTACAGAAAGAATACTTTATGTTTCCTTTTTATTCCATTGGAGAGGAGGATAAAGAATCAATATAAGGCTTCAACGAAAATTTAATTATATTTATGTCACTAAGACATAAGCATGCGATCATACATTTGCTAAAACAAACAATTTGAACAAGTTCTCAATAAGACCATTCTTAACTTTCCTTATGGCGAATATTGCTGTAATCACTAAGAAGAAAACGATTTCGTGAACTTAAATAGCAATTCTATATAAAACGAGGGTAAAAATAAATAAATAACGCTAGAGACGTTAGTTGAAGACTCAGATTTCTTAAATAGGCGTATGCATGTGTTAAAGACTTGAAAAACGTTTCGTAGAAATGTTTCTTTCTCTGCCAAAACGTACTATACCAAAAATGAGAAAAATAAATAACTTTGATCGATAGAAGTCACAAGATGGTATTTCAATACAAAAAAATACTTACAAAATTACGTAGATAACAAGTTACAAGTTACTTAGAAATACTTAAGAAGTTTCAAAGGAAATGATCACAAGTAGTTTGAGCATTTTAAAACATGCACGAATTTCTTGATAATTTTAGAGGGTGGTGACTGTTACTGGGTCTATAGTAAATAATGAAGATAAGTTGTCAAAATTCCAGAAAATTGTTTGATTTTAACTAATAAATAGGGTATTATGCATTTCATCTTTGCCTTGCTAAGTTTTCTAACTCGTGATAATTTCAAACAAACTAATAAAAGGCTTTATTTGTCATAATTTTGCTATTCTATATGGATATATATCAGAGAATCAAGCAATTTTCAATATACAGGGTGACCCTAAGGTATGTATATAGTATTATCAATGACTATGGGAACGATAAGAAAAAGGAATATAAAAGGCAAATACTAAATCATCTTCATCGGGATTCGATCCATGATTTGGACCAGGGAGGGTCAGATTTAGCGTAGACCTCTTCCCCCCTCTCTGGAATTGTTATTTTGGTTGCACTGTTACTGAATCCTATATAATAACTCTTGTTACGTTGTTGCTGCATTGCTCACAGTATGTTAAATTTTGTACATTGTTCGCAGTTTTAATTACAATACCGTTTTCGTGCCATGTCCAATTCACGGGGTAATATTAACTCGTATATTTTCACTAGCTTCACTTATGTATGATCGCAATATTAGTCCGTGTTCACAATACAGTTACACTTAGCAGTCACATACACACACACACATGATCCTATTTTTACATGCAAAACCTTTTAAAATAGACCTACTTTTGTGTCTAGGATGCAGTTAGTTTAACACTGTTTGGCCTGTAAGATTTGTATTTATGATGTTTAGAGAGGAGAGGTATTAGAGCTTGGTTCATCATGTATTATGTAACTCTCTAGTTTTGTTTTTATTATATTTTTTCTTATAATATTGAAGCGAGTTATTCGGGAGTCTGTCTGATAGAGTTGGCATGTTTGAATAGTTGTGTAGAAATTCTGAATGTGTTGATCGTGGGACTCTATATGCTTTCGTTAAAATATAGTTTTGTATCTGCTGTAGTTTGTTGATGTGTGTTTTTGATACATTTATCCATGTTATACAGGCATATTCTACAACTGGTCTTATGTATATTCTGTACATTTTTGATATGTTTTCTGGTGAAGCTCCATGTTTGTCACCACTCACGTTTCTAAGGTAACACGTTTTTTTCCAAATTTTGGTTTTTATGCTATTAATGTGTGGTATCCAGATTAATTTTGAGTCAAATTTAATCCCTAAGAATTTTGCTGATGTTGCTACCTGTAAGTGTGTCCCGTCTAGATATAACTGTGGTATTAATTTGCTTGTGTTATACGATTTTGTAAATATTATGACTTGTGTTTTGTATGCATTTATTTTGATTTTCCACTTATTGCAGTACAATCCTATTTCGTTTAGAAGTGGTTGTATATTGTATGTTGATGTTGTTGGGTTTGGAGCACTCTTCCGGATTGCATCATCATCATCTGCGAACTATGAGCAAAAAGTGTGGTTTGAGTCTTTAAAAGGCATGTTGCTGACATACATGATAAACAGTGTAGGGCTAGGTACTCCTCCTTGAAGGGCATCCGTCTCTGGAGTGCAGCATTCGGAGTAGGTGCCCTCAACGTCCACTCTGATGCTTCCTTCCAGAAAGTTAGAAACCCAGCGAATAATTTCTATGGGAAGTCCCAATCTGGACAGTTTGTATCTGAGTCCGTTGTGTCATACTTTATCGAATGCTTTTTCAACACCTAAGAAGCCGTATATTATACTACAGATATGACACATCTTTATTTTGAAAATGAACGTGTTCATAGCTTACAATGTGACTGGTTGTCGTCCAACCAATGAGAATGTGCCACAAAAGTATAAATGTGCAGCAGTTATATTTTGTCAAATAATCATTTTTAGAAACATTTGAATAAGAACGAGTTACTGACTTCACTGTCTCACGATATCATACATGATGAAAATATGCCTAAGTTCCTCTCCTCAGTTAATACGTACTTTAAGAGTAACAATAAGCCACCTAATGCTAGACTTTAAATATAAGTATCATTTAACTAGTTTATAATTAAAGTATTAATTAGGGTACTCATGTCTAATACTCTTGTCATGAATTAGTGAAATTAATATCTCACGCTATACGAAACTGTTTGTCATGTATAGGGCTATTACACACCAAGCTGCGTATTCCGATACAAAATGCTACACGTGATATATGAATGCACATGGCTTTGAAAGAGGTTGTTGCAACCAAAGGCTGTAAACGGTGTACATTCGCTGCACAACCCTCACTTATAATTCGTTTTGCACTTAACAGACACAACCGTGTATTTCATAAGATAATTACAACAACCGTGCAGGAGGGAGGAATATGTCTTCTAAGTACCTGACCTTCCCAGATCCTCACAAAAGGATCGAAATCCCGATCCAGAGATCCACGTCCATAAGTAGTTAGTGCAGTTATTTCAGTCATTGCTCGTAGAACTGAAATACTAAATTTAAAACAATATTCAATAATTGTATATTGATAGTTGTATAGCAGCACGAAAACAAGTAAACGTTATTCGTAAAGCTAAGAGCTGACCTGCAAAATACTAGTGCAACGTGTTCGTTTTTCTTTTGTATTTTTTATGATAATGTTTTGAACCATCAATAAATCCACCATCATCTAGTTTCCATTACTCTTCGTTTGTACGTCTCTACATATACCAGTTGTGTGTGATTCAATAATTATTTCCATGTAATATGTATGTGCGCGTGTGGTTCTATTAGCAAAAAGATGAAACGACTGTCATTTGTTAAACGAATATATATATATACACACGTACATGTACAGAGATTTGAACGAATTTACTGCTTGAGAATCTTACACTTAGTGGTTTTCTAGCTACCATTAATAGCAGTTAACATAAACACACCAAATAACCAGCAAAACCATTATTAGACGTAAAAACAGCCAAACGTTGTGTAATACTGCAAATACCGTGACATTTAGCTGCCAAAATATGTTGTACACCCTGCTATATAAAGTATCGCAATTTAAGTGTGTGCACACATTCTACTGTGGGAAACATGATTCAGCTATGCTGGAAATGTCAAGAAAACAGTTCAGTGTTACTCATTATAAGTTCTAGTTTCTTTCTTATAATCATTATTACAAATATTGTTGGTGAAACCTTATCTACACAAGATGTTTCTTTTATATATTTCCACTACTTTAGGAATAGATGAAGGACATGCTGCAGACAGTTTGAAATATTATAAAACAAAATACGTCCTAACGTATATATGTGAGGGAAAGTCACTTGTATAATATCATATTTTGTGGCATTCGAATGTTTACGAATCCATTCGGTTTATTTACCTAAAGCTATAAATCTGGTAGAACAAAAGTGAACGATTATTTTGTATATGTCTATATATTCATCATTAAACCATAAAGTAAGTTTTAAGCTACAAATATACCAACTGAACCTAATATTAAGAACAGTTTATTTTTAAAGAAACGGAATCTAACTAGAGGATACAAACACACGAATGTTTTTGAAAGGTTTTAACGGACCTCATCCACCTGTTTCGAAGCTTATTTGACGACCAGGTTTCGATCTCTAGTCAGAGCCGACAATAGAGGGTTGCTGGGGTGGGCCGCACTCCTCACATTTCACTCTGGTCCACCCAAGCTCCCCTAGCGGTTTAAAAAATCAAATTATCAGTGTTGAAAAATCGTATGATTTTTTTAAACCACTTATAAGAGTCAACAAAAATTTCACTGCCCCCCCCCCCCATCAACCTTGGGAGAGGAGCTTGAGCCGGGTCTGCTGCCAGTACAGGTCTATATCGCCAACAGATGGAAAAGTCATCCTACAAATAAGACAAGATATCCCCATTCAAAGATGAAATATTATTTGAACTATATTCTGTGATTCTAAGAATAGTCTCCATCTTAACGGAAGAAAAGGAAAATTTATGTAGAGGTTTGTAATTCCTTTGAAAGGTTTTAACGGACTTTATCGACCTGTTTTGAAGCTTGTTTGACAACAACGTTTCGCATTGTTAGTACGAGTCTTCATCGCCAGCAAATGGAAAGGTCGTCCAACAAATAAGAAAAGATATCCCCATTCAAAGATGAAATACTATTTGTAATATATTTTGTAATTCTAAGGCTACTTTCTTTTTTTTCAGCAGAAGAAAAAGAAAATTTAGATCGAGAATTGTAATTCTTTTGAAAGGTATTAACGGACTTTATTGCCCTGTTTTGAATCTTGTTTGAAAACAACGTTTCGCTTTGTTAGCACAAGTCTTCATTACTAGCATATAGAAACGCCGTCCTCAAACAAGTTTCCAAACAAATTTATAAAATGAAATGAAAGACAAGTTTAATTATACCACAGACAGTATTTTTTGATTTTCGGGTGTTTGTGGCAATATGATCATTTTGAACAAAGTTCAAGTTTATGCTTTTTTTTCTTATCAGGTATATGGCCATCATGCACCCACTGAAGCCTCGAATGTCTCGAATGACTACACTTATAATTACTCTGTGTATATGGGTGGCTGGAAGTCTTCTCTCCCTGCCCAATCTTCTCTACTCTACTACCATCACAGAAATGTTCTCTAACGGCGATTATCGAATTATCTGTTTCATGGTTTGGCCTGATGGATACTCGAACGTTAGTTATACCGAATACATGTGAGTTACCTGTCGTTCCGTATGTAACCTTTATTGTGTAGGTGAACGTTTTATAACATTTCATTCAAAACATGTTTGAAAACTTTGTATACAGGTTATTGAACTTATATATACGTTTATTGTTTCATAGAGAAAGTCTTTATTGTACATAGAAAATCTTTCAGGACACTCATATTCTCTTAATGTTTTCTATGTATGTCCTGTGGTTAGTAAAATAGTAAATAGTTTTAAAATTGTGAAAGTTTTCTGGAAATTTTTAGGTGATTCAAGTTTCATGTTGCACGTGAACACTTTCTCTAATGTAGAATTTTGAATATGAGTAATGTTTTTGTGAAAGCTATCATGAAGTATTGAATTTAGAGAAGAAAAAATTTGCGTTTGGACACTTCTTAATATATAGAATGTAATACAAGGATAATATTGCGTATGGAAACGTAATAAGATGTAAATGTAAAACAGAAGAAGGTTTCTTCAAAATTTTCAGAGTATGTAGAATTTAGTTAAGGAACAACGTTTCTTGGGAACATTCCATAAGGGTAGAATTTAGGAATAACGTTTCTTGAAAGTTTCAGAGTATGTAGAATTTAGTTAAAGAACAACGTTTCTTGGGAACATTCCATAAGGGTAGAATTTAGGAATAACGTTTCTTGGAAACATTCCATAAGGGGTAGAATTTAGAAATAACGTTGCTTGGGAACATTACATAAGTGTATAATTTAGAAATAACGTTTCTGGGAAACATTCCGTAAGGGTAGAATTTAGAAATAACGTTGCTTGGGAACATTCCATAAGGGTATAATTTAGGAATGACGTTTCTTGGGAACATTCCATAAGGGTATAATTTAGGAATAACGTTGTTTGGGAACATTCCATAAGGGTAGAATTTAGAAATAACGTTGCTTGGGAACATTACATAAGTGTAGAATTTATAAATAACGTTTCTGGGAAACATTCCATAAGGGTAGAATTTAGAAACAACGTTGCTTAGGAACATTACATAAGGGTATAATTTAGGAATAACGTTTCTTGGGAACATTACATAAGGATAGAATTTAGAAATAACGTTGCTTGGGAATATTACATAAGGGTATAATTTAGGAATAACGTGTCTTTGGAACATTCCATAAGGGTATAATTTAGGAATAACGTTGTTTGGGAACATTACATAAGAGTAGAATATAGGAATAACGTTGCTTGGGAACATTTTTTAACTTTTAGAATTTATGAACATTTCGTAACGTTCAAGAATACGTGGTTCATATTTCTTGTAAGTACTCATGTACGGGGTGTAACTGATGAAATTTACAGGGAGGGATAAAATAGACAACAAAACAGCATGACAAGCTTTGAGGCATCCCATGTTTTCTATGGTACAAAATTTAGACAATAAAAAAATCATTAAATTTATTACTTACTTGTACCGAATTAACTGCTAAGAAACTTTAATCGTTCAATTTCCAAAATCTGCCATCAAGCAAAATAAATACAATTATTAATATTATTATGTTTTATAAGTTTTGTTTACCTAGTTATGCAAGCGCTGGATAAGAGTCAAGGCACCGGATTAAGTATGGAATGGGTTATACTGCACATACGGAACCAGTTAAAAGATTATTAGCCCTCCCCCCTATTATTAGTCTTTTTTGTGAACATGATAATCACTAAAATGAAGATCATGTGAAAAAACAGGGTTAACAATATCAGATGCATAGAATTTCTAGTAGAAAGGCATTGAAAATTTAAAATATTTTAACGGAGAAGGGGATAATTTTGTCCACTTTGGGAAGACAACTGAAAATACAGTTCCGAGGAAGGAAAAAAAAACAGCAGAGCCAGGGATATCTCCTCAATCGTATTGCTCGTGTAATACAGAAGTTACCAAAGTTTATTTATTTGCCTTAATTATGTTTGAGACTATTACAGATATTATAGTTATTTCTATCTAAATGGGCCCGGTATGGCCAGATGGTTAGAGCACTCGACTCGCAATCTGAAGGTCGCGGATTCGAATCCCACTCCCGCCAAACATGCTCGCCCTTTCAGCTGTGGGGACGTTATAATGTTACGATCAATCCCACTATTCGTTGGTAAAAGAGAAGCCCAAGAGTTGGCGTGGGG